GGAACAAACTCTAAGTGTATGATTCCATCCGATAGCTTTTTACTTACGACCGGTTACAGTTGAAAAGTGATCCATTAGTTAGCTCACTAGAACTTGTTAATTGCATGGAAACTTTGGGTTTTGAACCAGAAATAAGCATTCACTGGTCGACGAGATTTAAATGCTATTTAGGTCACTGCGGAACATAGCCTTATGGATTTTTCCAGTTTGTTTGCAATCGATTTTACCCTTTTACGTTTCAGTTAACCACCTCGGATATCAAATTTTTCTATCTCACTTGTGATTTGCCACCGCCTCCTCTCTATCTGGATGAGTTCAAAGAAAGTATTATTCCTCAAGTCTCGTTGGCGTCGCTTCTTACGAAATTCAATGGGACTACCGAAAAGGAATATAAAACGCATAGGGACTCCATCATGCGTCGTTTCGAGTTGCGTCGGCTTCCACCTTATCTTATACTTTACATGAAACGTTTTGTTAAAAACATCTTCACCTTGGAAAAGAATCCGACCATCGTTAATTTCCCAATCAAAAGTATNNNAACACCGGAGTGCCGATCACAGCACAAGTGAGTATACTGATTACAAGTATTCACCGGTAAATACTTGAATCGAATATACGGTTTAACAATCGGTAGACCAGTAGTTAATTGAAAAACTTTTCGGTATGTCATGGATGTTTTTATTCCGCTCCCCTCATGACTTGGATTCGTACTGTCCGAGATACAGAAATGTTCATTCTTTGAGTATCTCACCGCTAACTGTTATCATTATCATCATCATCGTACAGCGAAATACAGTGAGGCGAACTTCACTGATCGTTGCCAAACTCGCAGTACATAAAGTTTGGGGTTTCATGGGCGGGTAGTGCTAGGATGTCAAGCCACTAAGCAGGAGAACGATTAGGGTTCTCAACCAAAGCCTTTAGTTTTGACATGAACCTAGCCGTAAGGCATCAGGTGTAGCGAAGTGGAGGCCCATTTACTTGGACCAATTACTCCTCCACCAATTTTTGCCGATTGAAACGCCAATTCTAGTCGAACCCCTAACCTGGAGGACCAGGAGACTGGACTTCGTCCGACGTCTACCCTTGGATCTTCCAGGTATGATTAGATCTTCGGCCTGACAAAAGCCATCCTATGTAGCTCGGTGGGTCAGGGAGGTGCACAAGCCATCACACTACGTCAAGGTGCAGTCTCGTGGTTTGTGCATATATACACCCGTTTGTGCCTGCTCCGGATAGAGGCAGTGCGCGTGTGTTTATTTTCAAAAGCTGCCTTCAAACTATTTCATAGAACAGAAATTAAGATGTGACCATTTTTATGTCCCGGAGTTAATAGCCACACTGGACATGTCTCAGTTGCTTGTGAGTATTAATATGGGGTCATTGTCCTTGATTTGGACTGGTTATCCTTCCGACTTTTCAGTCCCGCGCGTTCCTCAATCAGCCATGCACTCCGGAAGCGCTAGAATCGAGTTTCGCTTTCGTTAGTATTGCATATCCACCATCCCGTCCGGGCTTTCAACTCCGAACCCATCGCACAAGTATGTCATTCAGCTCATACCACCCGTGACCAGAATAAGCAATTCTGATGTCCTTTTCTACGTTGCGATTGAGGGAAGCTTCGGTATGTATTTGAGATAAGATGTGCAGGGATTCGGAGGATGCGGAGAAGTGGTAATGACTGCATATTAGCCCAGTGTACAAAAGTTGATTGAGGTCGAAAAGAATCTTTTTTTAACTTTGACATTCGAATCATATCAATACCCCATTTTGGTATAAGTCACTGCCTGTGTGATAAAAGAACGTGTTCTTCATTTTTACGGATGTTTTATCTTGAAAGTTGTTACCACAAAAATGGGTGCATACGGCTACAAGCCACCAGATAAAAATTAAAATTTTGACCCACAGATTGAGTGATTTTATCTTAATTTTTAGCGCAACTTTTGTATTGTTTTGTCGTTTCTGTGGTATGTTATTAGACAACCCACGTCCGTGGCTTCTCTTTTCACTACACTAGGCACACCACTTACGACTTGGTGGCTAATGTCGTTCATGATGGTCCACCCACACCTGGTTCCGGCACTCACCGTGTCCATCTTTTACATCGGGGAACTGGGAAGTGGTTTGAATTACAGGATTTACACGTAACGGAAGTACTCCCGCAGATGATCCCTCTCAGTGAAACGTTGGTGCAGGTAACTCGATCTATGCGCTTCCTTTTTGTTTGTTTGTCTTTCTCTCCAGAAGCAAATCGCTATATTCGCCCTTAACATTGTATACATTATCATTGCTTCGAGATCTACAAGTAAATTCAACTTCGCCGGTTAGGACTTATACGACGCGTGTCTTGCAATTCTCCTCCTGTCGTACCATATTCGCTTGTTAATTGTTATTATTATTATTATATCACGCGTTTGAGTCCAAACTGTGCGTATGTGTGTGTGGTACAATGATCTTTACAACCAAGAAATCAGTCCGTGATTGACTCGTTGGCGATATGCTGCCAGGTTGCGCATACCAAATCAGATGAACTTTCTTGAGAGAGAGACAGCTGACGTTTTCGGTCAGTCATCGGCTTGCCCATGAGGCTCGCTCGCATTTGAAGAGCTACTAGGTTGAAACGTTTTTTGGGTACCGTGATTGAAGGACAGCACTTACGGATTAGAAACATTAGGTGTCTTTCGTCTTCCAGAACCGTTGTACGCTTTATCCGTAATCAACGACAGGCATAACTGCAAACCATCAGCAGTAATGTGCTTGTTGTTTCTTCAAATAATGTGTTAAACCAGTGAAACTGCTTTTTTCACGACATACGCACCCTACATTTTCCCCCTTTAGTCAAGCCACCTGTTTGCTGTTGTATGTGTTCATATTTTCTTGTAGGACCATGGGACTTTGTTACATCCCTGGGTGTGAAGAAGCATGAACCCTGTACCCACAAGGACCTACTTTTCAGCTTTGAAAGCCACCTACCTATTCTTTGTGGGCTTGGAGTGGCACACACCTAGGGCCCCAATTAGATAAATGTAGTATCATTTCGAATGTCAGCAAAGATGACTTTAAAATCAGCTGGGCTTTACTAGCGTAGTTCCAACTGAAAACGTCTAAGTGAAACAGTGAAATTGACTTGAACAGCTTGGTCACCATCAGGACTTGAAATGACCAGTGAAAGTCACCTCTCTGTATTTCTTTGTACAAAGCCATTTTTCCGAAGATTCACCAACTGTTATCTGTGGCTTAATGTGATGTTGTCCCACTCGTTGTATACGATTAAAATTTCGTGTAAGGGTCGACAATTAGTATTAGATAAGTGAACAAGAAAATGTTGTGCTATGTCTCATGTCTGTCAAATGAAACAGACTAAACGAAACATAAATCATTATTTAACTTCACTAAAGATGTTGATCATCAACCGTGTGCCTCACAGATAAGGATCTCAATCTGAATGTGGATGGTTGTAGTTCCAACCGAGACACAAAAATAGTACGCAACATTAATGAGTCACAACACGGGTGAAACAACTGTCCAGTGGTGGTTTCCGGCCCCCACACAATTCCTCCATCGCGTTTATAATGCGCACGTTCAATTTCAAAATAGTACTTTAAACATTAACCATTGAAAGAAAAATAACCTTTTATAAATTCCCTCGCCTTAGCTAGTCATTGCCGTGAATCGCGTTTTGCGAGAACCATGTATGTCGTACCACCAATCAACGGCAAATCCAATTTGGGCTATCGTTTTATGCATTTGCAAGGGTCGACATCGGTTGTCGTTTCTTGAACAAGTAATCGCTAATAAACCATATTTCTTATACATGAACAGACCGTTCTGGAATTCCGATCTTATTAGATGCACTCCGTTGTTTTCCCTTCACATATGGCTTCAACTTTCTGTTCTCCTGCTTCAGGTCTGGGCAGTGAACAAGGCAATTGAGAACCCGCTTTACGTCAAGTCAGTGTCGAAACCCGATCCATCAGAAACGAAAACGAATGAGGCAGCTGATCGCTCAGGAGAAACCAATATTGCGGTTCATTCCTCTCCCAATGAGTCGTCACAGACGACTGAGAAACAGTCGTCCACAGATACGGGAAAGTCCGTTGTAACGGAACAAAACGAATCATAACTCACGATTGCCGTGGTGTGAACTTGTAAATGCTTCTCTTTCGTAATTTCAAAAATGGCCTTGTTTCCTCTCCATTCATCGGGTTTTATAGGGGACGGTATAAGATCTAGGGACACGTCATCGATCAAAAGAGATGAGTACCGTAGGAGGATCTTGCTGATACTTGACATCTATCTAATAACATAGATTTCATACACGTCTGAGCTCATACTGTGTGCTAAACCAATCATAGCACCGTATTATTTCTTAAAACAAGGTTTCATCATTTGTTCGTGTGTTTTACACCGCTAGGTTTCCTAGGCTACTTTTTAGGGAATTCGCATCCGGAGCCTTTGACTAGCCAAAGCCTCACCTACGAGGCAGCGGTGCGGTGTTTGAAGACCTTATTTCATTGAGGGCCATTATTCAGTGCATCCGATCACTCGCCTTTCAGACGGGGTCAAACGGTGAAGGTGACTTATACACGTCGATGCTCGATCAAGCCGGTAAACATTGCTACAACCTGGAATTTGTAGGTGTGTTTGGCTCGTACACCTTTTCATGGTTGGTTTGTAATTAGAGTTTTTAGCAAGTTGTCCTATGTGACCTACCGGTGGTTCGCCGATTCGGAGTTTGGCATTTCGTCCTCATTATGGTGAGAAAACACCACAGTAAGCAATAAATATAGCTTCCTCAACCGAGGCTATTTGAAATGCTTGGTGTTTTAAGAACATTTCCTGGGGTGCTAGTGGAGGGCACTCAGTCAAAACCCGGAATACTCACTCTCGACCACACTGCGGCTTTCGGGAGCCATCTAATAGAATTCGGTGTATGTTTGTAACATGAACGGAAAACGCAGTGTAAGTAACCAGTCTATGTTGTCCACGCATTATGGCTATTGACCCAACAATCGTTGGTACCCTGTTTGAATTTCCCTTGGGTCAATGCGGACGGATTTCCATTGACTGATGGATTGTGCACCTCTATGAACCAACGGGCTACATAAGATGGCTTTTGTCAAACTAAAAGATATTTTCTTACATGGAAGGTTCGACCAATTTCAATCTCCAGGTTTGGGGTTCAGCTCCAGTTGGTGTATCAGTCAGTAAAATGGTGGATGAGTAATCGATCCAAGTGAATAAGCCTCCATTTCGCTTCACCCACTGCCTTGCGGTCAGATTCCTGATGCACTTGCTCCCAAATTCAAACGATGAACTACTGGAGGAGGTATTACCTGTGATTCGAGTAATCTCAAGCGATATAGTGTTCAGTAACCAGGTAGACGGCTGTCTGCTAATGAAGGTCTGCTCACGAATTCAAACCAAAATCAGACCAGGGAATGCTAGCTCGAGCTACCAGACGTTCTGCATCTATGGGATCACCTACATGCGAAGCGCAAACAAAATTGTGGTGAATTGTTTTGGTTAGCACTCGGGCTAGTAATTCGTATACGCGTCGGATTCCGCGCAGTAATAGTCCAACCTAGAACTAAGACTCGAAACGAAATCAGAACTCAACGACGGAATGGGACTGTAAGAAGCGGAAATTGGGAACGTACAAGGATTTCGTGTTCAATAAAACAAGGTTTCATAGTTCATGAGCAATCACCACATCCGCCGTAGTTTGGATGAAGCTCCGGTTTTCTGTAATCACGGCGGGCTTTGTTGAGGAATCGTTCAGATCTTCTGGGT